CCCTGGAAACATGGAGCCAGAGGAGCACATTCTGACAAGCGAGGCCAACACAGGAATGATAGGAAGGAGAAGATGAGTGACCAGGGAGAGAGTCCGTTCCGATCCTTTCAACAGGTGGTCACTGAGGCCTTCCTCTGTGCAGGGAGAGAAGCACAGCCCCGGGAGAAAGGCCTGCTGTTGGGCACCGAGGATGCAGTGTTGGTCCTTGTATTCTGCCACTCGTCCTAATGGAGGGGCCCCATCAAGAGACGTGCACGCACAGGGGCCTATAGAATACAGCTTGGTCAGTGGAGACTCCCTCCCGTGCAGGTCTCTCTGCTGACAGCTAGTAGAGCGCATCTTATACTCCCGTCTGCTTTCAGTCCAGAAGGGGTGGTCCTGGGCACAGATGGACAGCCCGTTCAACCACTGCATCACAGAGGGACAGAGTCCATGAGTGTGGCCCAGTCTCCCTGGGGTGGGCTCCCTGCACAGGGACAGGAAACAGTAGGGAGCCTGGGCCCAGGAAGTGCAAGAGGGAACACAGGGTTGGCTGCTAACACGGAGACTCTAGACCTCCATGCCAGGAAACCATGGCCTGTGGGGTGTCTCAGCTCTGAACACTCAGACTGGGATCCCTTCTCTTGTGGAAATGAGCCACTGCAGAGAGTGGACCCAGGGCAGAACTCTCTCGAAGCCCTGCCTTTTGTGGGGAGAGGAGACAGAAGGTCATTTTCCCTGCACAGAGATGTGGGAACCCACGTAACTCTAAACAAGAAAGACCACTCAGTGAGCTCCTAGAGGTTGGAGTCCTGTGGGGGTTTGTAGGGGGAAAAGGATAGCAAGAGAACTTTCATGGACAGGGTGACGTTAGAGTTCAGTTCTACACGATCTGAGACATTTCAACAGATATCAATGGGGAAAGGAGGTGACAGGTGGGAGAGTGAGGGGATGTTGAGGAATGACTCATTTCCTTTGGGAGGTAGGCTGCCAGGAAGGCACTGCTGTAGCCAAGGTTGAACGGGCCATGATGTGGAAGACTACAAATGCTGTGCCAAGGCCTTCCTTCACCTGGCAGAGAATGGGGCACTACTGAGAATGTCTGAGCAAGGTGACGTGATGTGACTGGAACTTCTCTCTAGGAAGCTCTGGCCTTGGCTTTGGGTGAGGCGTGCGTGGGTGAGGGAGGACTTATAGCAGGAGACCAGTGAGAAGGCCGAGGCTGGTGGCACTTGAGAAGGGGCAGGGGATTGGAGAGGAGAGGGCACTGCTAAGGACCAACTGTGTTTGACCCTTAGTGTTTCTATCTCATTGATCTGGATAGAGCCTGAGCAGCGATGGTTATGAAAGTTCTCCAGGTGGGGCCAGTGTGCGGCCAAGGTGAGACCGCTGCTCAGACCACCCTCGTTTTAGCGCAGGGGGAAGTGAGGACCCAGGATTGAAAGGGCTGGACTCAGGGCCTTGGGCCTGGAACCCCAGAATCCTGGCATTCAATCCAGTGGGTGCTTCATCCGAGGCCCTGGAGAAAGGGAGACAGAATAAAGAGATCAGAGCCTTGGTGGGAAGAACCCTTTACAGAGCAGAGGAATGTAGGAAGGAAACAGAGGAGCCAGCTGGGAGGGAAGGCCCAGCACGGGGAGGTGTGATGCTCAACACTGTTGAAGGCCTTTGAGATTGGTCACTAGGGGCTCACTGGTCATTGAGAGGTCACTGGCCATGGGAGGCAGAGTAGCTTAGTAATCAAGGGTTTCAGAGCCAAACTGCCAGAAAGGCATTTATGGCCATGTGAGCACATCCTGTGTCTCCATGAGTTTAACCAGCTGTGACTTTGGGTATGTTTATTTGTCTCTGCCTCAATCCTGTCATCTGTAAAATGCTTACAACATCCATTTTCCCATAGGAATGGCATGAAATTAATTTTCCCATTTTAGCTGCTTAGTGTAGGGGATACACTCTCACCCTGAAGAGCATCAGCCCCTGCATCGCAGGGGTTGCATGAGACCTTCTCCTTATTTCCACAGGGTTGCCGTTGTCCTACACCTGGTCACCTGTGGGACCCAAAGCACCAGAGACTGCACATGCAGTAGGGAAGGGGGAATTGAGCCAGGAGGCAGGGAGGGGTGGGCGGAGAGGAGAGGGAGCCTGGCTCATTGCATCCCCACAAAGCCCTCTCTAGATTACAGACTTCCCTGAAGCACAGCAATCAGGAGACCCCACAAACATCCTGGACACAAGCAGCAGCCAGGGTGTGAAGTCCTGGGAACCAGCCCTGTGTGCTATGCTGGGGGTTGGCCACTGGGTGTCACTCTTAGCCTATGTTTGTTTGGTATGAGGTTTCTGAAGGTGGTCCAGCCTTGGCTGAAGTCTTCCCACATGTTACCTCCCTGTCTGGTACAAAGTGTGGGAACCCCTCCCTTCATATTACATTGAAAATTAGGGGACTTTCACTGATCTGTGTCCATGTCTTTTGTCTCAATGCAGGAGCAAGAACTGCACCTTTTTCAGTGATGAGGAAAGATGCTCTCTGGGGGTCCTGGGAAGTGACAGGAATGCTGAGTGTGCCAGCTTCCTCCACACACTTGCACATACCGACATAACGTCTGTCTACCGGCTTAGTGAGTGTTTGTTCCTCCAACACCTTGGAAAGCCCAGGCTCCTCAAGACTAAGAGTGTTTCCAACCAGGAATTAAATGTCTTTAAATTCTAATCCCATCCAGGAATTTGGAGCTATGGCTACCGTTCAGTTGATGACCTGCACCATATTGGATTAGCAGCACTTTCACTTTAGAGTTTAGGCAGCTCTAGGTCTGGGTGGGACTCGTTGCCTAGAAAGATATGTTGAAATCAACTCAACTATCGTGTGGGAGGTCAGTTGTATTGAGCCTTCCATTCTAATCCTGGAGATTTAAACTTCATGAGTTGTGGCTATGGTCCCTCTTAGGGCTGAAGTAAGTCTAGGTCCCCAGTGATAAAGGTGGGGGTGTAGAATGTTACAGCTGGATGGACTTTAAAACGTGATTTCTCCTCCCATTTCACAGATTGGGAAACTGAGGCCCTGGTAAATTAGTGCCTGAGCCAGGATAAGAACTGCCCTCCCTCCTTTTCTAGTCAGCACAATCCCTACGTTCACACTGACTCCAGCACAAATGACATGGATTGTTGGGTGCGTTAGATTTGGGTGGGTGAGGGGTTCTCAGTGCGCAGTTTTCAGGAGTGTCAGGGTGACTGGGTGAATGAATGACATTCCCTTCCCGTCCTTTGGGAAGGGCCTATTGCCCTGTGTCAGGAAGAACGTCCTCCCAGTGACAGTGATTTGAAGAAAGATTCTTGTTTCTCCCATCTCTTCAGCAATGGTGGTGATGTGTCCACTTTCATTAGTTGGGGCACGTTTCATGGATATAGCCAGAGATTCTGCAAGAGGTACCCTCAGGGCAGCTCCCAGGAGCAGAGGTGGGAGGGAGCTGGAGTCTTTCTCTACACAGGGAGCATTTGTGAGGAGCACCTAGCTCAGGCTGAGTCAGGAATCTGAAACTATGGGTGGCCACAGACTTGGATCTGAGGTATTTCCCAACTACTGATCACCACTGGGAGAGATCCAGAAGCCGGTTCCAGGCAGCCCATTGCCTCTTATCTAAAGACCAGGAGTACAACTCATCTGGGCGCAGAGCTGTGCCTTGTGGTGTGCTGGCTGCTCCTGGCACCAAGGCAACCAGCAGAGGGAGCATCCTCTTGGTACATTCCAGCTCCCCCAAGGCCTATATCCCACTGAAGAAGTGTCTCTGCAATTCTTCCTCCAGATGAAGCACATTTTTGTAGCTCATGCACTGTTTGTGCTCTCGTTGGTCCTGGCCTGGAGAGAAATGGCTGCAGTAAGACTGGCTTGTGTCCTCACATCAGTGAGGGCCGGGCACATGAACTTCTAGCTCTCCTGTGCTGGCCTGCGGGGCCTTCTCCCCATGGGGAGTTGCAGATCTCAAGTATCTGCAATGACACAGAAAAAAACCTTCCCCAGAGAACAGAAGGCAGAGGCCTGATGTCCTCAAGGTACGCTGGAGAGCCCAGAGTGAGGGCTGTTTCTGCTCTGCCAGGAAGAGGTAGACTTTTTCTAGCAGCCCCTTTCCTGTGGAGCACGAATCTGGCCTTGGCCTCCAGAGCTCCACTGCGGCTGCTCTAGCCAAGAGGGTTCACTTCTTTGCTGCCAAACTCATGAGGTCTCAGTTCTTGCCAGGTCTTGTTTCACTTTTGTGCCAGGTCTATTCCATTCTCTATCTAGAGCTCCTGCGAACTCAGATTGTCCAAAACTGGCCCCAAGACTGTCCTTTCATCTACCTCAACCCACTGAGTCACTTCAGAGAACAAAACTGTGACCCTTAGATGCACCCTCGCTTTCTTTATTTCATTATTCACGTTTGGTCACCTCGCCCTGCCAGAGCACACTGTACACACTCAATCAGAGTCTGTTGAGGGGAAGGATGATGAATGAAAGGGGAAGGGAGAAGGGAGGACCTGGGATGCACGGGAACGGGCGGCAGTGCCACGTGCCACCCAGTACGCTGCATGTGGAGGTCTGGTCACGGCTCTGTGGTAGAATTGCTGAGAGATTTGGGGCTTCATAGTTCATCATCCCCCCATCCCCACGCCTCTTGGCATAGAGCTCATGTTTTCAGCNTCTGGTCACGGCTCTGTGGTAAAATTGCTGAGAGATTTGGGGCTTCATAGTTCATCATCCCCCCATCCCCACGCCTCTTGGCATAGAGCTCATGTTTTCAGCTCTTCTTCTCTGACTCTGGGTCTCATTTCTACCTCGGTTCCCAACTGTAAAGTGAGTGGGTTAGGTTCCAGCAACTCTAAACTGATGAAGGGGAGAATCCTGCCCAGTTCCTTAAAGATGGCTGATGGTCTGAAACTTAAACACAGAGTCTCCTAAGGGGCCACTGGTCTGGGGGACACCTGCAGGCAGAGGCATGGTGGCCCATGATGACCTAACACAGGTCTGTCCTTCATCTCCATCCAGGTGGGTTTGAATCCATCCAGAATCTTCCAAACGATCTGAGCGGTGAGTAGAGATCATGCTGACCCCGACCTCCGGCCCTTCAGGACAGCATCCTATCCTCTTGCCAAGAGCCGGCCCCTGCAGTGGCAGGCCCTCAGGGTTGCTCAACTCTGCCTGTCCCTTACAGCGTCCCAGCCCGAAGGCTTCCAGGAGGCCCGGCCTGGTGGAGCCTGGGAGGAGCACCACGCCATGAGCTCCAGCAGCTCCGAGGACTCCAGCCTGGAGGAGCTCCTCTCCGCCGCCTCAGACAGTTACCACCTGCCGGAGCCAGATGACCTTGATGACCCAGAGCTGCTCATGGACCTCAACTCTGGTCAGGAGGAGGAGGCAGCCGAGACCTTCGCCCCCATATTGACTTTCCTGGATCACAAGGGCTACGCCGACCACTTGAAGAGTCTCTATGACCTCTCCTTCTCCTTCCTCACGTCTTCTTTTTATAACTTCTCGGAGGAGGACGAGCTGGTGGTCTACCTGGAGGCCTCCAGGAAGTGGGCCAAGCGGAGCCACAGGACCTGGGCCCATGCGCGGCTCTGCTTCCTCCTGGGCCGACTGAGCGTCAGGAAGGTCAAGCTTTCCCAGGCCAGGGTGTACTTCGAGGAGGCCATCCGCATTCTCGACGGGGCGTTTGAGGACCTGTCCCTGGTGTCTGCTCTGTACATCAACCTGGCTGCCATCTACCTGCGGCAGAGGCTAAGGCATAAAGGCTCGGCACTGTTGGAAAAGGCCGGGGCCCTGTTGGCCTGCCTGCCTGACCGCGAGGCCAGTGCCAAGAGTGAGCTTGACGTGGTGGCCTACGTGCTGCGCCAGGGCATTGCGTCGGGCAGCTGCGCCCTGGAGGCCAGGGCCTGCTTCCTGGCCATCCGGCTGCTCCTAAGGCTCGGCCGGCATGAGGAGGTCCTGCCCTTTGCTGAACGACTGCAGCTTCTCTCTGGACACCCTCCTGCCTCCGATACTGTGGCCACCATCCTGAGTTTTCTGTATGATAAGAAATACCTTCCGCATCTTGCAGTGGCCTCTGTCCGGCAACGTGGTCCCCAGAGTGCCCAAGGGATGTCCCTTTCGATTTGGCAGGTTCACCTAGCCCTCCAAAATGCCACCAAGCTCCTTGCTGTTCCCTCCCAAAGCTGGAATGAAGTTCCCGCCCTGGCCTGTCCGGCACTCAGGCAGGCACTGGCTGCCTGTGAGGAGCAGGCAGATCAGAGCACCCAGAGGACGCTGTGTCTCATCCTATCCAAAGTATACCTCCAACACAGGTCTCCCGACGGTGCCATCCACTACCTGAGCCAAGCCTTGATGCTAGGGCAGCTGCTGGGTGAGCAGGAAGCCTTTGAGTCTTCTCTCTGCCTGGCATGGGCTTATCTCTTAGCCAGCCAGGCAAAGAAGGCTTTGGACATCCTCTATCCACTCTTACACTCCCTGAAAGAGACAGAGACTGTTACCCAAAAGGGGGTGGTCAATAACCTTCTGGGACTTGCACTTCAAGGTGAAGGCCGGATGAACAGGGCAGCCAAGAGCTATCTCCGGGCCTTGAACAGGGCCCAGGAGATGGGGGATGTGCGTAACCAGGCAGTGACTCTGGCCAATCTTGGCCACCTGTCCCTTAAGTCCTGGGCTCTGCAGCCAGCCAGAGACTATATCCTACAGGCCATCCAACTCTATTGTAAACTCCAGGCCACTGTGGAGACAGACATGGAATTAGTACAGGTGCTTCTCTGGCTGGCCCAAGTCCTGGTGTGTGGACACCAGCTGGACAGTGGCCGCCTTTGTTATGAAATGGCATTGCTGTTTGGCTTAAGGCATCGACACCTAAAGAGTGAGTATGTCCCCTGCTGCCGGGAAGCTTGAGAGACAAGTATTAGAGTACATTTTGCCCTTGTCCTATCTCATTCATGTCCCTGCTTTATGTTCAGGTCAGCTTCAGGTCACCAAATCCCTCTGCCATTTCTACAGCTCTGTGTCCCCAAACCCCGAGGCATGCATCACCTACCACGAGCACTGGCTGACGCTGGCTCAGCAACTCAGAGACCGGAAGATGGAGGGGCAGCTGCTCGAGTCCCTCGGGCAGCTCTATCGGAACCTAAACACGGCCAGGTGAGTCTGGGCTTAGGGACAGTCCTAGAAACATCTTTTTTCCCTTAAGGAGAAACAGTATTGTTTCCCTCAGGACATCAAATCCAAATGCCCATGGTATGTTTATCCATTAAGGAAGAGAGCATGGGCTTTGCAGCTACCACACAGTGCAGGCCCAGTGTCGTCATCATTTAGCTGTATGATTTGGACAAGTTATTTAATTTCTCCAGGCCTCAGCGTCCTCATCAGTCAAGGGAGGATACTCATGGCATCTATGCTCTAGTGNGGCATAGAGCTCATGTTTTCAGCTCTTCTTCTCTGACTCTGGGTCTCATTTCTACCTCGGTTCCCAACTGTAAAGTGAGTGGGTTAGGTTCCAGCAACTCTAAACTGATGAAGGGGAGAATCCTGCCCAGTTCCTTAAAGATGGCTGATGGTCTGAAACTTAAACACAGAGTCTCCTAAGGGGCCACTGGTCTGGGGGACACCTGCAGGCAGAGGCATGGTGGCCCATGATGACCTAACACAGGTCTGTCCTTCATCTCCATCCAGGTGGGTTTGAATCCATCCAGAATCTTCCAAACGATCTGAGCGGTGAGTAGAGATCATGCTGACCCCGACCTCCGGCCCTTCAGGACAGCATCCTATCCTCTTGCCAAGAGCCGGCCCCTGCAGTGGCAGGCCCTCAGGGTTGCTCAACTCTGCCTGTCCCTTACAGCGTCCCAGCCCGAAGGCTTCCAGGAGGCCCGGCCTGGTAGAGCCTGGGAGGAGCACCACGCCATGAGCTCCAGCAGCTCCGAGGACTCCAGCCTGGAGGAGCTCCTCTCCGCCGCCTCAGACAGTTACCACCTGCCGGAGCCAGATGACCTTGATGACCCAGAGCTGCTCATGGACCTCAACTCTGGTCAGGAGGAGGAGGCAGCCGAGACCTTCGCCCCCATATTGACTTTCCTGGATCACAAGGGCTACGCCGACCACTTGAAGAGTCTCTATGACCTCTCCTTCTCCTTCCTCACGTCTTCTTTTTATAACTTCTCGGAGGAGGACGAGCTGGTGGTCTACCTGGAGGCCTCCAGGAAGTGGGCCAAGCGGAGCCACAGGACCTGGGCCCATGCGCGGCTCTGCTTCCTCCTGGGCCGACTGAGCGTCAGGAAGGTCAAGCTTTCCCAGGCCAGGGTGTACTTCGAGGAGGCCATCCGCATTCTCGACGGGGCGTTTGAGGACCTGTCCCTGGTGTCTGCTCTGTACATCAACCTGGCTGCCATCTACCTGCGGCAGAGGCTAAGGCATAAAGGCTCGGCACTGTTGGAAAAGGCCGGGGCCCTGTTGGCCTGCCTGCCTGACCGCGAGGCCAGTGCCAAGAGTGAGCTTGACGTGGTGGCCTACGTGCTGCGCCAGGGCATTGCGTCGGGCAGCTGCGCCCTGGAGGCCAGGGCCTGCTTCCTGGCCATCCGGCTGCTCCTAAGGCTCGGCCGGCATGAGGAGGTCCTGCCCTTTGCTGAACGACTGCAGCTTCTCTCTGGACACCCTCCTGCCTCCGATACTGTGGCCACCATCCTGAGTTTTCTGTATGATAAGAAATACCTTCCGCATCTTGCAGTGGCCTCTGTCCGGCAACGTGGTCCCCAGAGTGCCCAAGGGATGTCCCTTTCGATTTGGCAGGTTCACCTAGCCCTCCAAAATGCCACCAAGCTCCTTGCTGTTCCCTCCCAAAGCTGGAATGAAGTTCCCGCCCTGGCCTGTCCGGCACTCAGGCAGGCACTGGCTGCCTGTGAGGAGCAGGCAGATCAGAGCACCCAGAGGACGCTGTGTCTCATCCTATCCAAAGTATACCTCCAACACAGGTCTCCCGACGGTGCCATCCACTACCTGAGCCAAGCCTTGATGCTAGGGCAGCTGCTGGGTGAGCAGGAAGCCTTTGAGTCTTCTCTCTGCCTGGCATGGGCTTATCTCTTAGCCAGCCAGGCAAAGAAGGCTTTGGACATCCTCTATCCACTCTTACACTCCCTGAAAGAGACAGAGACTGTTACCCAAAAGGGGGTGGTCAATAACCTTCTGGGACTTGCACTTCAAGGTGAAGGCCGGATGAACAGGGCAGCCAAGAGCTATCTCCGGGCCTTGAACAGGGCCCAGGAGATGGGGGATGTGCGTAACCAGGCAGTGACTCTGGCCAATCTTGGCCACCTGTCCCTTAAGTCCTGGGCTCTGCAGCCAGCCAGAGACTATATCCTACAGGCCATCCAACTCTATTGTAAACTCCAGGCCACTGTGGAGACAGACATGGAATTAGTACAGGTGCTTCTCTGGCTGGCCCAAGTCCTGGTGTGTGGACACCAGCTGGACAGTGGCCGCCTTTGTTATGAAATGGCATTGCTGTTTGGCTTAAGGCATCGACACCTAAAGAGTGAGTATGTCCCCTGCTGCCGGGAAGCTTGAGAGACAAGTATTAGAGTACATTTTGCCCTTGTCCTATCTCATTCATGTCCCTGCTTTATGTTCAGGTCAGCTTCAGGTCACCAAATCCCTCTGCCATTTCTACAGCTCTGTGTCCCCAAACCCCGAGGCATGCATCACCTACCACGAGCACTGGCTGACGCTGGCTCAGCAACTCAGAGACCGGAAGATGGAGGGGCAGCTGCTCGAGTCCCTCGGGCAGCTCTATCGGAACCTAAACACGGCCAGGTGAGTCTGGGCTTAGGGACAGTCCTAGAAACATCTTTTTTCCCTTAAGGAGAAACAGTATTGTTTCCCTCAGGACATCAAATCCAAATGCCCATGGTATGTTTATCCATTAAGGAAGAGAGCATGGGCTTTGCAGCTACCACACAGTGCAGGCCCAGTGTCGTCATCATTTAGCTGTATGATTTGGACAAGTTATTTAATTTCTCCAGGCCTCAGCGTCCTCATCAGTCAAGGGAGGATACTCATGGCATCTATGCTCTAGTGTTTTTGTGAGGAATAGATGAGTTAATGCACATGGAGCCCTTGGAACAGTGTCTGATACATAGAAGGAGCTCAGTAATGTTGCCCATGTCACAGTTACTTGTGTTTCCATAACAACACATCATGTGCCCATGGCCAAGGATGCATAATGCAGAAAGGTGGCTGTTATACCCAGGATGGTGGGACCCACAGGTCTTCCTTACCTGAAGACAGCTGGTATTAGGGAAAGGGCACAAAGTAAATTGATTCACTGAAAACGGGTATAAAATTTTACGGTAAAAAAAGTTTCTTTGGGCCCTTTAAAATGAAACTGGAAATTATAAAACTAAGTTTCTTTTCACTTTTTAGTTACAAATACTTAGATTATAACTGCAACTCTGCACTAAGTCTTGGAATAAATAACGGAAGTGTTGGCTGTTTAGCTTAATTGTGTTGACAAAATTGTGTAATATCCAATGAAACATCCTGTGTTTTGCGATTGACTTTTCAGCAATCTTTTACAAAGGCTCATTTTTGCAAAAATATACCAACACCTAACTGTTTTACCCAAAGGCTTCTTTTAACCCTTTGGTATTTCAATTTTTCTCAAAGCATCCTGCCATCTCCGGCTGATTTTCTCTTCCCTGCCTCGTCACTGGTCTAATCTGCCCATCCTCATTTGTCAGTGGCACGTGGCCTGCAGCTCTGCACTCTAACAAGCCTTTAATTCATTCTATTAAATTCTACATGGTTTGCAAGATATTCAACTGCATTTTGCAACAGATTAGCATTGTAGCATTGAATTAATAATTATGAATAACTTCTAAAATAGAGCAGAGATAATTGCTAGTGTTGAGCAGAGAGAGATGGTTGAAGAGAAGCTAATTAAATTATAATTTTGCTTCTCTGGGCAACATGGTAATCTGGTAACCCAAGGTACCTGGATAATCAGATCATGAATAATCAGATAACGATCTCTCTCTTTCTCCCCCCCCCAACTCTTTGTCTTTCTCTCCCTCACCTTTTCCCTTTCTTATAAGAATCAGGTATCCTGCACATCTCCCGTTACCTATGCCTTCAGTCCCAAGAAGGGAGTTTTCCATCCTTGCATCATGTGAGGGGACAGGAGGCAAGGGGCCCCAGTGCTGCCTTTTTGTCCATTCCAGTACACCCTAGGAGTTGGGATGATTCTCGAGCAGATCCAGAAGTCAGGCTTGAATTAATCTTAGAGATGGAACAGTCATGTTCATGGTGTGGCCTCATAGGAATGGGCTTTAGGAAAGTTGGATTTTAAGGGTCTGGCGTAAGGGTGGCAAATTCGTGTCAGGTTGATTGCCACCTCCCACTGTGTACAAGCTTAGTCTCAGATTAGTCACTGCTCGCAGCCATCACCTACCCCACTGCCATCCTTTGCCCACCAGCCTCCCTCCCACCTCCAGTTGTCAAAAAACACTGAAATCTTAAGGGGGAAGCCAGAGAGAAAGCCCTGGATGCTGTCAGCACAGATGGCAGAGGCCTTATTTAAGCCAGTGTGAAGGATCACTATACTTCTTTGATGGAAGTGATAGAGAGGAGGTAAGAAATGGGGCTGCAGTTGGTCTAAGAAGTGACTGGAGGAAGACAGTAGCCACAGAGGTGGGATAGGAGCAACTGAAATAAGAGTGGGGGTCAGGAAGTCTGATCCTGCCATGAGCTAATAACATGTCTGTAAACAAGTCATTTCTCTTCTTGGTTGCACCATTGATAAAGTTAAATTGAATGAGGTGCCTTCCAGTTCTAAGATGTTGAGTCTAGGACCAGCCAGCTGTGCTATTCTGACCCTGGCAATAGCCCTGTCAGTACCAGAATTCCTGCTGCCTCCAAAGCATCTGGAATTCTGGGGACAGATTCTAAAGTTGTGGGCCTCCTTGGAGGACCTTTTAGATCAGACACCTAAGCTTTTGGGGTTTTGAAAGTCTTTGCAGTAGGTCCAGGAGGTCATGATATAGTGACCATAGCTCCATGTGGGCAGACATCATGTCTAACATAGAACTTGGCACAGAGAAAACATACAGTACATATTTGTGTGGGTCAGCTGAGTAGTTAATTACAGTAGTCTCCAGTTATCC